ATAAAGCCACACCCGTTAACTTTACATGTACGATGCACTCGTCCTCGGTTCTCTTGCTGCTATATCAAACGTGCTTTCTTCCTCGGGGAGCAATAGAGCGTAGTGATACTGAATCACTTCACTGTTTACCCTTACATACTACCACATGTAGTTCGTCTAAAATGACGGTCGATCTGAAGACATACACGATAATGAACATTTGAATCCTGATTGAATTTAAAGATGTATGTGTGCATTTGCCATTTTCCCCCCAAACTTGTCGCTGTTGTCGAACTATTTTTTCTCGGCTCACCTTGACCCCATAGGTCATTAGGTAACGGGATGTCAAAGAGTAAATCCAAATGCCTCGGTTCGATTGCTTTAAGAACGTACTTTTCTTATGTGAAATTTGTTCTGTTTAGATCTACAAAGGATCAGGTTTCTGTTTAATGCTGTGGTAGAGCGTTTAAACAAGATTTCGGTCTTTATAGAAACGCCTCTCTAGCATATCCGATGACAGTTACTGGAATTTCGTAGCATTCTGTTTTACGTTGCAAAAAAGATGAAATGGTATACTGGTCATTAGTCTGTGTCACAGTCCCTGAACCACATTACATTCACTACTGCCTAGCCCTCCCTGCAATGCTAAAGCCCTAATTGAACCAAGTCTAGATTTCTCCAGGTTCAATTTAAATGGGTTTATTTGTTACAATCAAAATTATATATATTCAGAGACTAAGCGTTAGTCTAACTGGTCCTTAGAGGCGACCAAATAGATCGGGGGGTCAAGCCCAGTGATTAGGTTGATAGCGCGGACCAGCAGCGTGGAATATGATGTCACTATATCAATCACTGGTTCAGACTCGATTATATTTACAGACGTCATATAACTGAAACATTGCTGAGCACGACGTTAAACAAATAAATCTACATATAGCTCACCTGGCACATTGTAAATTCAAATGTCCAGGTGACTACACGAGTAAGGGCGACGTGTCGTTACATAGCTGAAATAACGCTGATTCGACGTAAAATTTTAACACGCCGACTAAGGGCGACGTCGGAAGCGGGATCATGGAGGCGTCTTAACTCAGGAAGGTCGTGGACCGTGGAAATCCTTAACAATTAAAGGGTTTCCTTCCACGTTCACTTTTGACTTAAACTATTTAAGATTTCTTTGATCAAAGAATCACAAATAGTCAAAGTGTTATATTAACCGCTATTTTGGTACAGCGCATGCGTCACACAGGAAACACCGAAGCCAGCACAATCGATAGGTGTGCGGGAAACTGGGCTCCGGGTGTCGCCGCATTCGCTTTGAATGTGACACCGGGCTAAAAAACATTTTGCTATTTGAAACTCTGAAGGGAAGGCATTTGGGACACAGTAACAACGTGTTGCGAAAATGTTTTTTTGTTTCAGTTCCAGCGTTAAACAATGCTAGGAGCCAACACAACAAAGCTGGGAGGCGTTAATCTTTGCAATCTCTGACATTCCGGTCATACGAGAATGCTGAAGGTCCCGTCATGATTCAACAGTTACCTCTGGAGGCTGGAGTACGCTAGCTACAGCACGACAGCTGAAACTCTTGGCGCTATAACGAGGGTTTATAGTAGACACGGTGTGCATGGTGATGTATCACATAAAGTATAGATTTACTTCTTCAGGTGTTTGTTTTTGTTGTCTTTCATGTTGATCGTATTTATCTTGTGTGAACATGCGAAAACACATACGGAAAATTCCATTAAATATTTAAAATGTATTCTAACACATTTAAGGGAATTCTTTGGGGAATTTTAGTTTAATTTTTAATTTTGTACATTTGCATTAAACGGTTTTAAAGGAAATAGGATCAACAATGCCCAGGTTGAACCGATTCACTGCGATTCATGGAAACCATGGGCCGTATTCCGAACATTTTGTCCAGGGTTACCATTTAAGTCAGATCAAGTAATGGTGTTGGTGTCTTTCAAGCGCTACTTGAATATCATACTGCAAAATATGATTTGGAAAATACATCTGGAATTTTAGTTTCCTTGTATTTAGACGTAAATCCGCGTTTGAGACGGGAACAAAATACACTTATACCGAACAAGGATGTTTCGAATACCGGATGTGACGAATATACTCGAAATTCCGAACATTTCTGATTTCTATCGTCTTGATCAAACGCTACAAAACAAAACCACAAAGAGGTAATGTTGTTCGCAAATACGTATACTGACAGGTTTGAATGGGATGGGACTGGTGATTTATCAAAAGGAAGACTTAATTCCAGACCATCAGCTGGCCCCCCGACACGCCAGTGTATCATTTATACCCCGGGGCGGTGGGGTAGTCTTGTGGTTAAGGCGTTCGCTCGTCACGCTGAAGACCCGGGTTCGATTCCCCACATAGGCACAATGTGTGAAGCCCATTTCTTGTGTCTCCCGCCGTGATATTGCTGGAATATTGCTAAAAGCGGCGTAAAACTAAACTCACTCACTCACTCATTTATACCCCACTCAGGCTTCACAGCAAACCCGGACTTTCTGAGGCGCAACCTCATCCGAAATTTGTCAGTCTATTGAAGAATCGCGACGAATACTGCGTCATAAGCGTCATATTTCATACATCCATCCATTCATTACAATACAAGGAAGTATAATAAAAGTGAAAACTAATAACGGAAACATTAAAAGGACAGTGGGACACGTCATGCGATGATAAGTTAAATTCGCGGAAAATTGTAGCTGAAAAACCCGATTACACCAAAAATATACCCTATCAATCCGTATTTATCTTGTGCGTAAGAGCACATCTTCATATATCATATATACTCAATAACAAAAGTAATGCATCGATATTTGCAAGTATATACTAACCATGATGATATAGCCATATATGGCTTTACCAAGCGACTGTGTACAAGAAACCAATGGTCAAGACAGGTCAAGCGTCATCAACAATGCGCTTCATTGCTGGACAGAATATATATACTGGACAAAAATAGTTAGGGATATATGTAAATTTTCAAATTATGAATAATTATCTATTTATTCATTGACACACCGATAAAATATCAATCATAAAAATACCAATATCCCTAACTTACTTTGTCCAGTATACAATGTATATGTTTAACTACAATCCTAAAGAAGATTTATTAATTGTTTGTGCTTTACTCCTAAGAACTCCCAATGACTGACTGACTGACTGAGAGTTTGGTTTCACGCCGCTTTTAGCAATATTCCAGCAACATCACGGCGGGGGACACCAGAAATGGCCTTCACACATTGTACCCATGTGGTAAGAACTCCCAATGAAATAAATAAGAACATGATACTAGTTAATTGAGCATACGTTTTAGTTTATATGCTGAACACAAAAGTTATCATCAATATTTTCAGGAAATCTTTATGAAATTGTATGCTGCACTACAGAAAAATGTCTCCAATTTTTACATGAACTCAAACTTCGTTCGCGCAGTATATGATAAAGCGAAGTTCATTATAAATGAAGTTTTGTTATATTCGTAGATAATTACGACTAATACACACACAATTGTAACCATGTACTTTTATCCCTCTCAGAAAGTACAGATCTTGACATGGTATAGTCCTCTTTCCGGTGTACCAGCGTATTTTGATAAGGCACCGTCCCCAGAACTCCTTACATTGTTTCTGTCACGACAATGAGTAACGCTGAAGTCAGTAGTTGACATAGATACTGTGCCAACTCCACACACGGCAATGTCGTAAAACTGACATTGTAATTTCCATATACAAAAATTGTTCACATGTTCCTGTCTTATTTACGGCATGTCGTAACGCCACATTCACACAAGCGCACGGTCGAAACGTCAGCGAAAGAATGACTAATGATGGATTTGAGACCAACAGTATTTTGTTAACACTTGTGCTTGAGATTAAAATTTCTTTTGTGAATTCATGTCGACCAGATGTGGAGTCATGACTTGAAATCAATACAGTATTGACATTTTCTGTAGGTCACGAACGCTGCCCGTTCATTAAGTTCAGTTAACATTGTGACATTCACCATTAAAAATCGGCTGTTGCACAAGAGATGTAGGTAAAGAAAGCTGGTACGTTATAGTCGAATAGCTTGTGAACACATTCTAAAAAGTACTAATACATACAGACCCAGGCGCTTGAAGTAAAAAGTATTTTCTTATATAATTCGCAGATGTTACAGTGAATGACTAATCACACCTTCTGTGTCAGTATTAATAAAACCTTTCAATTAAATATTCTTAACAAAACGGATTTTACCATGTAGACTGTTTTACACTTACGTCATTTTATGTCGAGCCTAGCCGGACCGAGTTGGCTTAATTCGAGATATCCGGATATTCGAGATAGCGCGGTGTGGACCTTCTGACAGATCAAGTACCTGAACTATAATTGTATATTATATCAACAGTTATACGATTGCATGCTCGATACTGACACCGTCACATTAACACCGGCTTCTTGACAAAGTTTAGCTTATGAGGTGTCACCTTTGGAGTCATCTGTGGAGTCTGTTCATGTTTAATTAGTCTGTCCACTTGACAATTCAACAAAGTGTCACTCTCGGCTTGATTAACCTTCTTAATTCACTGAGTGAGTGATTGAGTTAAATTTTTACGCCGTTGTTAGCAATATTCCAACAATACCACGGCGGAGGACACCTGATATGCCTGGGCTTCGCACATTGTACCCATGTGGAAATCGAACCCGGGGACGTGATCGAACCCGGGTCTTCGACAGGACACCATCGACTTAGAAACATGGTTCCATGTCGAAAAAAATATCTTCATTTCATCATCAAAGAGCAGTCCCATTGACACACTTTTGCCAAAAAACGTCTTATACATCAATAATGTTATAATCATTCTAAACATGAATGCATGCTAACATAGAAACATTGGGACACACTTTGCCAAAAAAACGTGTTATACATCAATAATGTTATAATCATGAATGCATGCTAACATAGAAAATGTGATGGGCATGTATAAACTGTATCAGTTTACTTACCAAAGCACCATATGATAACATCCATAAACAACTGTCTGTTGAGGTATCGGTTTTTCATTGTGCATTGTAAACTTCTTTTCGTGCCCTTCTCGCAGTCTGTTGACATTTTTGGCTATTTGTAAGTTAGTGTCCCCTCTCAGCTGTGTCCTAACGCTAGAGACTAGTCGCGCTGGCCTCCGTAATACCAGCACTCGAGCCAGCCTCTTGTTTTTATATTGCCGCGGCGCGAGTAACCTTTGACCTCCCCAGTTGTCACGGAAACATGTCAATAGCTTGCGTTTCTTCCTGACGTTCTGGAGTAATCACTTCCTACGGGAATGGCGAATGTGCTTGTGCGCGGTGTCGGTGTCTCCTCTGTCTATACTGCGAGTTTTTGTGTAGAGGGTTGCATGCAGTTGTTTGATCCTAGTGTATCAATGTATATTTTGCTGGGGGTATTTGTATCAGTGTGTGCATCTCTGTGTGTGTGTGTGTGTGTGTGAGAGAGGGAGGGTGGAGAGCGAGAGAGAGACGTTTTTTTATGACGAATACTAACCACATTACGACCATTGCTTAGATCGGTGTTCATGATGTTGATCATTGGATTATCTGATCCTGACCCTACTATTAACAAACCGCTGTTATATAGACGAGAGAGAGAGAGAGAGAGAGAGAGAGAGAGAGAGAGAGAGAGAGAGAGAGAGAGAGAGAGAGAGAGAGAGAGAGAGAGAGAGAGAGAGAGAGAGAGAGAGAGAGTACCCAGTCGTGATATTGCTAGAATATTGCTAGAAGCGGTGTAAAACTAAACTCCCTCACTCACGTTTGTGGGTGCTTGTACTAGTCCGGTGTTCAATGCAACGTTTATAGTGCCTGCCCACGGAGCCACCATGTCGCAGTTTAACATGAATACCCAACTGCGACTCTATACTGACTCCTTATTCTGTCCCCCTTAACTCCGAACATCTGGTACTTCATGAAGTTCTTTCTGTTAAAGGCAGTTGGTATGGATCGAACTATACCGACCTTCTCACAGAGTCCTGGCTGACACTCTGCCCATAAGGCCACGGGGGCAGTCAGACAGACAGTTATTATGAATGTTGCGTCGCATGGCTATAAAGTACAAAATCCTCTGTAATAAATAGTGGATTGCTTGATCACTGTGTTACAAGAAACATAAATTGATGCAAATCATCTTCACCTGGTTGGTTGCATATAATCAAAGCGTTCGCCGAAACCTGGGTTTGATTCTAAATATGGTGCAGTATTTCAAGCCTGTTATTGGCTCCCCTCTCCTTCATTTTCCTGAAATAATGGTTGAAACACTGGTACCGCGTCGTGATTTGTCACATTATATATAAACTTTCAGTTTATTTGTTGTTTTTAATGCAATATCCTAACTATATTACGACGTTCTGCGTCGAGCTAACAACCAGTGATAGAAAATTCGACAAACATTCCAAATCATGGCTATGAAAGAACTACACAACCCGATTACAACCGGCATTATACAAGGGTAAAGTGCTGGAGACATTTTCTGACCCGTATCCTCGCCAAGCTACTTCCTATACCGTTGTGTCCAACTTGAAGGAACCTTAGCTAATACTTCGCGTTAACCGAGGTTCGACACAACTGCAAAATGAGGAATACTCCAGGACCAAGCTTTCACTTCGAGACAACCACAAAATGGTGATTAAATAAAGAATACGTAGGGACCAAGCTTTCACTTCGAGACAACCACAAAAAGGTGATTAAATAAAGAATACGTAGGGACCAAGCTTTCACTTTGAGACCACCACGAAATGGTGACTAAATAAGGAATACGTAGGGACCAAGCTTTCACTTTGAGACCACCACGAAATGGTGACTAAATAAGGAATACTCCGGGACCAAACTTTCACTTCGAGACAACCACAAAATGGTGATTAAATAAAGAATACGTAGGGACCAAGCTTTCACTTCGAGACAACCACAAAATAGTGACGAAATAAAGAATACGTAGGGACCAAGCTTTCACTTCGAGACAGCCACAAAATGGTGACTAAATAAGGAATACTCCGGGACCAAACTTTCACTACGACACAGCCGTATGTTCGACACATCGGAGTTCGACACAACAATGTTTGACTGTATATATAAGTACATGTATATGCAATGTACTCTTACACAGGCCGTCACTCATGCTACATACATAATACACCTACACAGGTCTAGATGCAGGGTGTACTAACAGTTACCTTCATCAACAGCCATGACTGCTGCTGTGTAGTGTGCCAGGTCGTGGAGTACTTATACAAATGATCAAAGTGATTTAGATATTTCCGCTACTGATCTGATTCATCCATACCTTTCGCTATCCGTACTAATGGGAGTTTATAACACGGAAAGTGTGAAATAATTTACCTAACCCATATGTATGGTCTTGTACCTGCCATGGCTTTGAAGGTGTCCATGAATATACGCCATATTATTCAGACGTGTCATTAGTTGGCGGAAAGTGAGAGTTTGTCATTGGTACAGGATTGTCCGTCCATGTTTTATTGCTGCAGGGTTTGTACCGGATCGGTTTTGTGACCCCGCAAGCTTCTGACCCTCAAGATGAATTCATAGTATGCAATGTATCATTCATATTCTATTTTATTACACTTCATTGAAGACTGTTCTTTCCTTAAACTCTACAATTGTTACAGTTTCATGAACTTTTTGCTTTTGGTTGTACACACATTATTGTTTAGTATGCTTACACATTCTCAGTCTCTGGGGGCGGTGGAGTAGCCTAATGGTTAAAGCGTTGGCTCGTCACGCCGAAGACCCGGGTTCGAATCCCCACATGGGCACAATGTGTGAAGCCCATTTCTGGTGTCCCCCGCCGTGATGTTGCTGGAATATTGCTAAAAGCAGCGTAAAACCAAACTCAGTCAGTCAGTCTCAGTCTCTGTGACAATAATGTAATGTGAGGCGGTGGGGTAGCCAAGCGGTTAAAGTGTTCGCTCGTCACGCCAGAGACCCGGGTTCGATTCCCCACACGTGTACAATGTGTGAAGCCGATTTCTGCTGTGCCCCGCCGTTATATTGCTGGACTATTGCTAAAAGCGGCGTAACACTAAACTCATTCACTCACTCACCTGGGTAATGCTTCACGAACAAATGTTTTTGTCCGGTACATATTAAGGGCAAGGGCGGATAACTCTCAACACCCACCTTCCGTGACGTTTGTTTTAGTTGTGGAACTTACCACACTATTCCCACAGTCTTAAGCCGAGTTTCCGAAGAAACAAAGCCAAACATTTAAATATTCAATATACCAGAGTGGGAATGTTTCTTTGCAATTTTCCATTTTCATCCCCGCAAGAGAAAGGATGACTCAGAGGGCCATTACTGTTTTTACTGCATTTTTGTGATAAAAATCCCTAAAGCCCATTATGAATTTGAAACATAATATGGAGCCTTGTTACAAGACTGCAAACGCCTCCTTTCCTATATAATACTTGAAGTAATTGTTTCATGTGTGTCTCCATAATACGTATTAACATATGGTTACTAAAAGAATAAATGACCATCTGATAAAACAAATGTGTCACCAGATGATTTACTGTAGTAATAGCGGTATGTCCTCCATGTTGTGAGTGACGTATTGAAATAGAGACTTAATTCAGTCTTGTCACTTGACAATATGTCGCTGTGATCCACTTCGTGTGGGTTGAAACAGGAGCGAGTCGTGAGTCACATCTGGCTCATCAAACTTTAATACTGTTCTCTTCCAACGGTCGTCCTAACATTGAGACTGTGTAGTATTATGTCACCGTTTATGCCCAAATCTAGAAACATTACTCATCTGTAGCCTGGGGAGTGAGTCAAATCTTTGAAAAACATACCGCGTATTATTGTCATGTAATTCATCACAATGTTGCTGATTCAGCGTATTTAGAAATAACAACGTGTCAGCTTGATGTGGGAACAAAGAGTGAGTGAGTATGGTTTTATGCCGCTGTTAGCAATATTCCACCAATATCACGGCGGGGGAACTAAGAATGGTTGCACATATTGTATCCGTGGGGAGATACGAACCCGGGCCTTCGCCGTGACGAGCGGACACTATAACCATTAGGCTACCCTACCACCCTAGTTCTGTCTGAGGAGTGAGCAATATACCACACAGTCATTTTACGAATACACGCAGTCATCGAAGTCATCGAGTCTGATTGCCAGAACAATTTGGGACAGATACTAGTTGTTTTAGTGAGTGAGTTAAGTATTACTCCTCTTTTAGCAATATGCCAGCAATATCACTGCGGGGGACACCAGAAATGGGCTTCACACATTTGACCCATGTGGGGAATCGAACCCGGGTCTTCGGTGTGACAAGCGAACACCTTAACCACTAGGCTACACCCCACACACACACACACACACACACACACACACACACACACACACACACCCCTCGGGAACAATGAAAGTATTGTTGCATGTCAAAGAGTAGAGGTAGGAGTAGATGCTGTGGTGTTGGTGAATTGTAGTAGTGGCGGTGGTGGTAACCTGTACTTCGTTAACGTACACACCCTGTTTGGATACGGGTTATTCTATCCTTAATGGATTTTAGGTACAACCTTTGATCTGAAGACAATCACGGAAGCAATTTTAAGTTATAGCGGATTTACAACCTTCGCTTGGTTATTTTGTGTCACATGATAGTCACGTGAATGAAACTAGTTCCAATATGGTTTCCTTCCAATGCAGGACCGAGGTGCTTATTAGCCGAAACTGACCGAGGGATCCGGAATGTTTGCCGAGGCCCTGATTTGAAACGAAGGTGTGGGATAATATAACCCTGTATTAGTTTTTTATCGTCCTGCTCAGTTTACACAAGAAGAACAAAGGCAAACACCCCACCCCCACCCCAATCCCCGAAAACTATCAACGAAACTGTGTTACGTACTGAATGATACGGAACTCCACAGGTGTTCATGAATAAATGCAATTTGGGAAGGGTCGAACAACAAGCAGGAAAGATGACACGTTCAATAATGTCAATTGTTATGTGAGATCCGTTCTGTTCACTGAATCATATGTGTTTGTGGCTGTATAATAGATCAATAATCATTATAACAATACTATTGTCTAGCTTTTGTATTGTGATATGTATTGTTTACCAGAATGCTTCGACGACGTGGGACATATTTCATGTTT